CCCCCCCCCCATTCCTATCCTGCTATTGCTTTTCCTCATGCCCATTACTTTTTTTGGACAGACCATGACTTGAGGCAAGCTTAGGGAGGAATATAATATGTATATTGAATTGCTAACTACAGTTAAGTGAAAAAGAAAGTGCGCCCTCTCTGAATTCTATGGTTTTAACTATCAGGATATAATCAAATGGTATTATGATGTGTCACCTGCAAATTTGGGGGCAGTTGACATGAATGATATACTGTATATAATAAATACCCCTTAAAACATCTCAACTATTGACTATAGCCAGAAAAACTGGACAGTAAAATAATAATAACTTTATATTGTTTCTCTTTCTTTTGCTGCCCTTTAAGTGTCTGGAGCTAAAACCTTTTTTTTTTAAATGGAAAAGGGAAGTGTTAAAATCCAAAATAGTTGTCATCTTAATAAAAATAAAGAGGAAACCACCCAAAAAAAAAACCGTTTGCAGTGACAATTGTCTAAAGGTGCCCATACACTGCTCGATGCTCGTACGAGAATCGCGTGAAATCCCGCGATCGTACGAGAATCGTGCAGTGTGAACGAAGACGTGCGACCGTTTCTACTGTACGGTCGCACGTCTTTTGTCTGGGGAGCACGCTAGAAAACCAGCCGAGAATCGTACGATTTTCGGCTGGTTTGAACGGTGCTCGGGAGACAAATGCCGAACGGGCCGGTGTGCGCACGCTCACACTGCCCGTTCAGCATTGCGGTCATCGGAAGCCCGCCCCTCAGGGGGGGTCGGCTTGCGATGATCGAGAGTGCGATCTGCCTGTCCAAGATGGGCAGATCGTACGTTTTTTAATCACTTTACAACCATCGCAAGACTAAGGTCTTGCGATGGTTGTACAGTGTATGGCCACCTTAAGACAGTTTGGGGATTTAGTTTTACTTCCTGTTGTGTCTCCTGGACAGGAAATGAAGGGAAATCAAAAACAGATTTTAAAAAAAATGACCATTCACAGCTAATTATGAGCTCACGCTTGGTGCGAACACAGAAGTTAGGAATCACTGCACGCAACAATCAGCTGCAGCCAGGGCATTCCCTACCTATGTAAACAAAAGGATGGGATGCTGGTGACATCATTGCCCTTATATGACCTAACTTCCAGGTTTGCAGGATTTCTGGTTTGCACCAAATCCAAGCTCATAGCTATTCCCTACTCCATCCAAAACTAAAAAAAAAAAAGATATGCGAGTCACCTGGAGACTGGCCTGTATGACATCTGGAGCAGGGTTGCATTGCATTCGGATTATATGCAGCCTGTTCATTCTGTGTTTGGCTCTCCTTTACAGCAAAATGCATTATTATGTACTGGGAGGCAGGGGCGTCATGAGGCCGAGTGTCACCCGGAGCGGAATACCGGGTGACACCCCGCTGCGACAACATTGCGCATGTGCGTGACATCACCATGAGTGCGCGGTCATCTAATTGAGAGAGGAGTGGACGTTCACCCGGCAGGATAAGGTATGCCGCCAAGTCCCCTCCTCTCTCCTGAAACTGTCGGGCTCTCGGCCTACAACCGAGTGCCCGACTTTTCAAAGGGGATGACAGTCATTTTGGTGTCACCCCTCCAAAGGTGTCACCCGGGTGCCGGCCGCACCCCCCTTGTGACGCCACTGCTGGGGGATGTTAGGCACCCCAAAAGTGAGGAAAAGCGGAGGAAGGACCTTGGAAGCGCGTTGATGCGTTTTCATTGTCCAATGAGCAGAGAGGAGGCGGGGCAGTGACACAGGAAGCCTTTGAACTCAATCATAGCTTTATTATCCTCCAGGCTATAGTGCCGTAAAGGTGCGTGAATCACAAGAGTGGCTGAACAGAATTAAAAAACATTGCAGCAAGTAAAACCATTCATGAAGATGGATTTTTAGGCGCATGCTGTCTGTTTGGCTGGCGTTCTGCTTTACGCGC